ACTGCATTCGACGAAATAATTACTTCTTGGATCAAAATTTTTAATTTTTAGTATTTATTAAACAGAACAAAAAAACTGCTAATTTCATTCTTTTTTTTTATTTTTATGAATATCATTCTTTCTTTTTGTTTTGCTCTTCCAAAACTCCAATTTCAGAAAAAAAAAAAAAAAGAATTAATTTTAATTTTTAGTATTTATTTTGGGAGTAATTGAGTAGATTCCAGATTGACCATTAGGTACAACTCACTGCGACTGTATAGTTTCGCTTTCTACGAGGATCTATTTAATTAATGGTAAAACGCTTAAATTGGCCTCTCAAATAGAGGGGTAGAAATAGATATATTCATAAAAAAAATATTAAGATAAATTATTTTTTAAAATTATAAATGGAGACAAATTATATATTTTCTAACGATGTAATATGAGAATTTTATTTGTTACATAAGCATTTTTTAATGAAAAGTTGACATCACATGTTAAAAAATAAATAATTTATCTTAATTTATAATTTAAAAAGTAATTTATCTTTTTATTTTTTAAGGAATAAATCTGTTCATATCCCATTTGAAAGGTGGATTTGAGGTTCTACATTTTATTAATAGAATAAAATAAAAAATATATATTTTATCATTTAAATTATATTTAACAATACAAACAAAATGAGGACTTAAGTATCATCAAATGATTAATAGAACCGGGCCTTTAAGTCCAATGGTTCGATTTTATATCTTAAGTGCTTGGGTGAGGTGGTTAGAGTTTCGAGTTCTACCACCGTCCTAAAGTCTACCAAAAAGCGGTTTAATAGCCACGTGCCTCATTTGAGGGGTAGAATGTTTACCTGGTTTGGGAATCGAATCTTCAATTACTAACAATTAATTCATATTAACTTTCTAATCCTTACCCATGTAAAAAAAAAAAAAAGGGTTAATAATAACTGTGTTACACATTTTCAAAAATAAAATGGGTCAGTTCAGAGAGTTAAGGGGGGATTTTGTCAAAAAAAAAAAGAAAAAAGGAGCCCGCTTAAATATCCTGCCTCGTGAGTTAATTTGGTAAAAGCTGTAGAAAAATAATTTATAGATAATTTTTTGCAAAATTTTATATATTATTTAAATAATTAATTAATTACTTATTTATTTAAAATATATAATATTAAATTTATTTATTTATTTAAAATATATAATATTAAATATATTTATTTATTTAAAAATATATAAAAATTATATAAAAAGTTATAAAAAATTATCCTTATATCATTTTTCAAATTTTTTAAATGAAATGATTCTTTAGTTCACTTCGGCATTTATGTGAAAAAGTGACATCTAGCAAAAGAAAAAACAGACAATCAGAGGTTACATGCTTTCGTCCGTGAATAATGAGAGTTGATTTGCATTATTAGAGGGGTTTGGGGGTTTATTTGCACTGTTTTTAGTTTAGGAGCTCATGTGTTAATTTATAATAACTCCGGGGGCTTAGAGAGGGTTTTTGCTTCTTTTTTTTTTTTTTTTTTTTTTTTTTTTGAGGGGTGGATAATCGGGTTCGTTAAGCACAGAGCTAATCAGAGGAGCGTGTTGGCCGCTGACGGTGGTAAGAATGGCAGAATCAGGGGAAGCGTCGGTGGGGAGAGAAATGGGGGAGGAGCAGGGAAAGGGCAATGGCAATGGCAATTCGACGGCGGCGGGATGGGTGGAAGATCTGCAGAGAACAGTCAAAGAATCGACGGACTCTGCGATTCGCTCTGCTCGTTCTCTTCAGCAAAACTCCTCAACTCATATTCGCTCCTTACAGGTATTCTAGCTTTCTATTCCCAATTAAATTCTTCTTTGTTTTCAATTTTTAATGTTGATTTTATTCAGGATGTCTCAATTTTGGAATATTGGAATGATTTCTTCTGGGGATTCGTCGCTGTGAATCTCTCCCAAAGTTATTTTCCTTTTCAATTAATCACTCTGTAATTCAAAGATTTTGCTGAGCTGAGCTTCTTTTGTGGGTGTTTTTGTTGGGTTTATTTAGAGCTTCTGTCCTGTAATTTTGCTTTTTCTTTTTTTCTAAAATTGGGTCTTTCCTTTCTCTCAAAGCTATGGTTCTGTTAAACTAGATGTTACAAATTTACAATTGTTGCAGGATTTTGTGCCACATGCAGCATCCCAGTTTGCAACTTATGAAAATGCTTTCTTTGACACAGTTAAAGGTCAGTCCATTCATATTTCTTGCTGCCTGTCATGTGTCATATTGTATGTGATTGTTAATTGAGTGTCAATGTTGTATCTTTGTAGACTTGGATTGTCTGTAACATTGGTGCTTCTTATTCCAGTTGTCAATCTCATTCGAATGTTTGGTCTTTTTAATTATCCTGCTGGCTAAATCATCAGTTTCAGAATTGCTTTTGATACTGACGATTAGATTTTAGTAAACCAATCATTTCACTGTTTTCTTGTGTGTTAAGTGCTAACCGTACTTTACAGGTGAGTTGATGAAGGCAAAGGAACACCCAGCTGCATCTATTGGCATTGCTTTTACGGCTGGTCTCCTTCTCATGCGAGGTATAATTTTTTTTTTCTCCTTGTGATCCTCTGCGTCAATTCATTTTTTCAATTTTTGTCTGAGAGTACAGTCTTATTTCTTTTAATGCTTAACTATTCTTTGTGATTCCTTTTGGGCTGTATGACTCATGAGAAAGCACTCTAATATTCTCCACTCTCATTGTATTCTGCTCTGTCATGTTGATGATGAGCAGGAGCTACATATTTGTAGCTGGTACTTTGTCATCCAAAACTTATTAATACTCTTTCTCTATGCATGAAGTTTAAGGCGATAATAGTGAAATCTACTGCCTTGCTTGCTTTTAATGATTTCATTTTTGCTGTTATCCTTATCATGGAAGAAAGTTGTTAATTAGAAATAGAATAGATAGACATATTGCACATCTAGCTTATCTGATTCAAAATTATAATGGTTTCAGCTATTTATTATCTTTTTTCCTTTTGAATCTTTAATTAATTGATTAGAGGATCTGTTGCAGGCCCAAGAAGGTTTTTGTTTCGTCAAACATTAGGTCGGCTTCAGAGTGAGGAGGTATTTACCATTATAATAATATAGTAGAAGCATATTTCACCCTGCTCCTAAGCTAGAATTCTGCTTCTATTTATATATTCTTTATTCCCTTCAAGCCAAAGCTAAATCCTCAAGTCCTAGAATCAATGTAGGTCTCATATATCTTCTTTTTGCCAAAATAACACCCAGGCACAGTTTGTTAAGGCTGAGAACAATGTCAAAGGGTTGAACATTTCCGTTGATGTAATGAAAAAGGAGAGTGAAAAGCTGCTTGAAAGAGCAGCTCTTGCAGAGAAAGATATGAAACTGGGCCATA